TCTGGAGGGACTACAGAATGAGACATAAAGCCAACTTGGGGAAGATTGAAGGACTAGAAGCTGAAAAATAAAATAATAAATAAAAAAAGAAAGTAGTAACTGGAATGATCTAATTGGCTTGTAGAGCAAGCTGTTAGAACCACTGCTAGTCCTGGTATATCCTAAACAGAAACGATTGCTGATCTGTAGTCCACCATAGGACTGTGTTTCAGTGTCTTAACGTCACGAAGATAAAGATAGAAATCCGCTAAGAAATCTGAATTCCCCTCAACATAAAAAATGGAGGATCGATAGCAGAACAATGAAAAATATCCAGAGATTGGTGAAACAATTTCCTCAGTGGATTGTTCTGGAAGATGCGTCTCCAGTCAAGAGGCGAGATGGTACTAGTGCTGCCGAATGGTCTAACACAAACACTCAAGTGTGATTGGCATCGGAAAACTGCCTGAAAAACGACATCCAAAGAGGAGTGGGCAAGCATCCCTCGTGGGCTAACATGACCACCACGGTATCTTGATTAATTGCCAAATAATCCTCAAAACCCGGGTGAGGAAGCTACCTGATTCCCAAGACAAGGCAACCGCCGTATAAAAAGATACTGATCTAGTACGCATGGGCTAAAACCTAAAACTCCCTTGGACTAGGAGGAACGTGATTGAAATGCGAACGAAAGCTTCGGATAATTTCGAGGACAGATGTGAGAATTCCGTATCAATTTGAAGCACTGGCGAGGAAAAAACAACCCCATCTTAACAAGGTTGACATGGGCTTGTCTATCCATACCCCTAGTCGAGGATGCTAAGCCTTCATACTTACAATATTGTGACTGAATTGTCCATCCACGTTGCACAGTGAACGCAGACATGAGATCACAGAATAATGTCCCACATGGTGCATCAAAGTCTTACAGCGCATCTCCAATGGCGCGTCATATGTCTTAACAAACATACCGTCATAGAAAAAGATCACTAATCAATGCGCCGTTGACTAAACCCATGATTAAACTCATGTCCGCCCGTAACACTCTACAACCTAACAACGAGATGTTTACGGCGGCCATTTACAATGTATGAGCTCTCGGCCAATCAGCGTCATTCAGTCCGCAGTAAATACTATTTATCAGCCAATGAAATAATTTGTTATATTGTAGCTTACACAAGGTCTAAGCTGGTTCCCAAGCTGGTTCCCAAGCTGGTTCCCAAGCTGGTTCCCGGCTCCCGTAGCGCTCACGAACTTGCGCCATATAGTGTATATTGCTATAAGCGAGACGGGGCCCAGCTGAACACAAGGTCGCAAAGCATGGCAGAAATAGGTAGACCAACGGAAGATGCCATGAGCGTGATTAGGGAGATGAGGATGTCGAAAAAGTAAACGAACTACAGAACACACCTTCCAAGATCCGTCAGAATGCAGAGGGAGAATAGGCACTTGTTGGAACAATAAATGTGCCCTATAACACGCCTTTTCCAGGTACAATGCACATGCTCAATGTGTTGACATGCTACCTGTTATTAACCCTGATAACCCCGGCTGCCAAGAGGCGCGAGAAAATTGAATAGCCACATGATTTATCCCACCAGGTACCCATGAATAAACACACTTGCATGTATTCAGTGACGGGATATCAGGCTTGTTTCCAACGTAACGGTATATCGCCCGTGCCTCCCGTGGAGCGCTCAGCTGACAGTGCATTCTGGCAAAAAACGCACGTGTCATCCCTGTTATCTGATACATTCACCTGGCCGTCACCTTGTCCGACGCATGTGCTACCTGAACTGCCATCGCCTCGTGGGACAGCGGATTGATTTTGAACCCTGGACTCGAATATAGCCGTGGTGTTGATAATTCCGTAATAATAACAATGAAAGTTACATATCGCAAAATCCAACCACAAAGTGGATGCTCAAGCGCTACAAAGTGAGGTTTGAGTTAATAGTACAGTGAAAAGAGATGCGTTGAAAGATGTGATCTGAACGCAATTAAAACATGGAAACAGTTTATAACAAGGAACAGACTATTCCACGGTGATGGCGCGCAACCACTGAAAGAGCATTCTCAATAAGAGCCCAAGGCAGTCTGTAAGAAGGAGTATTCAATAAGAATTGCTACCAGATCGCAGTTGTCTGGGTGGTTGAAGGGCAATTCACTTAAACGATTAGAAAGTCTGGTGCTATGCCATTTAGACTCTTGGATGTGATACTTTAAATAACTGTACTGGGTTATTTGGAAGCCATGGCCGGAGGTAGATTCCAATGGAACGGGTGAATACCCGAAGTAGGAGACAAAGTAATAGGCTCAGATGATGAAAAAACAAAAAAAACAAAGTATAGCTACCTTATACAATGCCAAGCGTAACAGATTGTCGAGGGGAGACGAGATCAACAACCCCCGAGTCCCTTATACCAGGAGTTAAGGTGAGAATTGCAAATGCCATTAACCAGAGAAGGATGGCAAAGAAATGGCACGTGAGACCAGTCGACTTGTCGAAAAAAGGTGACTAATGGGATCGGGTGGTGAGGCTTGCTGACGTGGGTAACATAATGTGTTACTGTAGCCCAAGTGTGTAGAAACCACCTCCGGAGTGTTGTGGTTAGAGCGTCCGCCCGGAGAGCGGAAGGTCGCGGGTTCGATCCCAGATCGCGTCATACCAAAAGACGTTAAAATATGGTACTTGTTCGTCCCTGCCTGGCGCTCGGCATTAACGGGTACAACAAGGACTGGGCTCCTCGGAGTAAGTATAATGAGTCCGAGTGGGGTATTCATGCTTCACTGCAGGATGGTATCTCAGTGGGCATGCACTATAAACCCAGCTTCAGTCTGGGCTAGTACAAGCAGCCGCACATACACATACACATCGTCATATGAGCGAAAAATTCTCAAGGACGACGTGAAACCCAATGTCACCACACCTCACCAAGTGCCTAGAACGAAGCTCAAGTTGATCACTGGAATGTCTGGTCCAGACTTGATGAATTACAGGTCGCCGCCATAAACTGGAATATTGCTCAGTGAGGCGTGAAAACTTAATACGCTCACTCCATGGTTGATACTCGACTACCCGGGTACAGACTATAAAGCATCCCAACTGTCTAAAAAAAATTGACTCTAGACTATGGCTCTTGCCAGCGTTATACGAGTTGTACGGCGTGCCCCAACCACTGCCGTTGCCGTTGAGCTGTTGCGGCTACAACCCCATCATGCAGGCAAAAAACGATTGTCGTCCGTCGACATCCGTGTCAGGCTGATCCGAGACATATCCTGAGATGCCAGCCCACCGGCCAGCCGTGGCTACGGCGTGGCCGGAAGGACGGTTGCCGGAAGATCCGCTCGGCTGAGGGATCCTGTGGGTCCCCAGCATATGGGGGTGGCAGGACGGGAAGGTCCGAAGCCATGGAACCATACCATATGAACCAGTCCGACAGACCTTGACCCGTGGACTCGTCTGGGACGGTTGGATGGATAGCCAGCTGTGTCTGTGTTGGTCCCGTGGACGCTGACAGATCAACAGGCTGAGTAGCCGTGGCCATGGGTCGAAAGCGCCATGGGGAACACGGACTACATGGAAATTCAATGGATAGCCAGCTGTGTCTCTGTTTGTCCCGTGGACGCCGACAAATCAACAGACTGAGTAGCCGTGGCCATGGGTAGAAACGCCATGGGGAACACGGACTACATGGAAAGTCAATGGATTTGTCAGCTGTGTCTGTGTTTGTCCCGTAGATGCCGACAGATCATCAGACTGAGTAGCTGTGGCCATGGGTCGAAACGCCATGGGGAACACGGACTACACGGAAAGTTATAGACACAATGAACATCTTAAGATACGTGCTTGTGACATATGCATTTTGGTTCAATAAAGTAACATAAAATACAAGCAATATGTACAAAATATAGAATGCGATGGACAGAAAGATCAACCAATGCGACACTTCTGACCGGGAGTCTTGTAGTACTTTGAAAATTTTTAGGGAGGACCTGTGAAGCACGAGGCACAGACAAAACACGTGTAGATACGTGCTTGTGACATATGCTTTTTGGCGGGAAAAATAGAGTTCAATAAAGTAGAATAAAACGCAAGCAATATGTACAAAATATAGAATGCGTTGGTCAGAAACATCAACCAATGCGACACTACTGACCGGGAGTCTTGTAGTTCTTTGAAAAATTTTAAAAACACTTCCACTCTGTAAACACGTCTTCTGTGTTGTCCATACAGAAAAATTATGAGAGGATTTCAACAACTATGTTGTGACGTCATAGCCAAGGGAGATAACTGCATAACTCTTTTAAGCATACCACTAGGGATAGCTATGACTTAGTTAAAAAAATTCATTTCCATTCTGTATGTGTCTGTGGAATCCAAAGGAATAAGGCAACCATAATCCAGAGGGAATGTTTACGCTTATAATTGTCTCTTTACAGACAGCCACGTACAGTTCCTCTATCAAGCATATCCAGCCTTAAGTTTTCTAAACTCCTTCGTTTGTTTTTAGAAACAAGAATACCAAGCCGCCTCTTGTCACCGACGGTCAATTTTCTGGGCCTACCTGCGCCTCCCTGGTGCTCAATGCCATATCCATTTGCAATATTTTTCAAAACACGATAAACAGTGTACAAAGGGATGCCTGTTCTACTTGAAATCCCTTTAGCTGATCTTATGTCCTTGTAATAATACTCTGAAATCAGCTTCCTCTTCTCTAAATCATCCATACTGAGGATCACTGAAAATGTCGTCTGCTAGCAAGTAAACAGAGGGGGATAACTCTTCACAAACTAATGAAAAAAGGGTTAATGGAGTTGTCTCTCTTGAATGAAACCAAGCACTTGATAGCTGGTCAAGGTTGTTTATACTAGAAATCCAATTAAACATATTCCTAAAACTCTCGATAATTTCTGGTCATACTATACTACTTAGCTTAACTCAGCTGTCACTGGGCGATGGTAGTCTACTGAGAACCATGCCTATTACAATAACATAAAAAATATATAAAAAGACTTACCCCTGAAAGTTTTATCTCCCCATGGTGAGCTTCAATTTGTGCACTGTAAGGCAAGGGTGGCTTCTTGTGCCATGTGATCACAAACATATTGATGGTATTATGCCTGGACACATACATAGGCTGCAACCATGACAACGTCACATTAACAAAAAGTCTTCCTTCAGTGTCCATGAATTTCTGGCTTATACCTGTTGTGAGGTTGCGGGCTGGATCAGGCTCTGCATCATAGAGTAAACTGAATGAGGGTGAGACCATGACTTTCAGGCAATTTTAGTGTACAATACATACAGATCCTGCCATGGCACTGTAGCTCACTTGCATATGTAATCAAAGAGGATTTCAAAGGCATAGAAAATCCCCAGAATATATGTGTTGAGTTGGGAAGGATCAAAACTGACTCAGGTGGCAGGTGGAAATTAGGGAGGGGGCCATTAGTTCCGACCCAATTTCCCGAGGCCAAGGACTTTCTTTTTCAAACAAAACTGAAGAGGAGGTATTGATCCAACTTATGGACTGACTGAAGATATCCTTTACAAATAATTTTATTATTTGGCATTTACTATGGAAATCATCTGAGATGCGACTGGCAGCAGATACATTGCCTTACACATGAAATGCACATTGCTCTGCACTCGCTACCTGTGTCCTGCATGTGTGCTGCCCACTCTACCTGTCTTACGAGGAACACATGATTCATACTGACAAACAATCTCATTCTTCACAGCGATCCTTCATAGACTAGTGGAACATATTATATGTTTTCAGTAATGTGATATTTTACGATCGTATTCAGTAATAGCAACACAAAGTTATATTGATCTTCAAAACAATTAAAATAATTCAAAGTCAAGGGTTATTCCTCAGAAAATCCCTGGGATGCAGGCAAGTATGTAGAAAATCTCCAGGATTCCTTGGAGAATGCCCACAAAACTGCCTGTAGAGGTTTACTCAGTAAAAGGAGAACCTGGCGAGAGAACGAGTGACGTCACTGCAAGTTTTTTTCTACAAGTACCGAACTGAATCACATTTTGAAAAATAATGGAAAAGTAATGGTCATATATATAAAACAAATGCTCAAAAGAAACTAAACACGGCAAAATATTACATAAAAATTCACAAAAATAAAAATGAAGTGATAAAACCATACTGAGCCATATCACAAGTAGACCCATCTTTTCTGGGAACAAATGGCAAAACAAGCTAACTATTGCCTAAATGTTGCAGAAAATCCAAAACAACATTTTTTGATGTAACACGAAATGCACATGCATAATGATGGTATAAAACAGCCTACGCAAAATGTGAGCAACACAGTTGTAAAATGAACACAAAAAACATGCTACGTTTGAGGCAAATCAAAAGAGAAAGAGTTGTCGGAATGGCCAAACAAGGAGCTAACCACATCGTCATTGCTAGAACCTTTGGCTGCACCCAAGCAACTGTCATCAGACTTATGCAACGACTGAGAGGCAATATGTCAGACAGACCTAGGTGTCGAGAAGCATCCCTATGCCCGGATTTCAATTTATCCGCGACTCGTCCAGTTAACTGAGGACTGTGTTGTTTTTCCTGATTTTTTTTTGTACTGTGAAATATGGGTAATACAGGATACAAGAGAACACGTGTTTTCCTGTTTTGCCTTGGAGTTGACAACCACTTGACTGGTTTGATGATTCGGACGGCTTTGACCCACCCCCAAACCTGCAACTTTTACCTGGGGTGACAATACGTTGGGGTGACCCCTCCACACCAGGTTTCATATTTTGCTGTATCATTATACGATTGGGGGTCCCCCAACTGGGATTACTACCCCCCATATTAGACTGCTCTGATGTCGATATAGACCAGAAGTTACCTATTGACCCTTCCCGTATCTCCACATACGAGAATCTAAGTCTTATAAGCCTCAGGTACGTTTATCGACTATTAACTGAATAGGTCTATACCCAGTCGTAGAGGAAGTAGCGAAGACCCTGGAAACCGTAGACGGGTTCCGCTTGAGACAGTTATGTGATGTAAAACGCCAACTAGAACAAGACCGCGACACGCGGAAAGCACTATGTAAGAAGTACCATAGAGCTTTCAATATCGTGGATGGGGCTGATACTGCCCTTATGACAACCAGCATGGGGCTAGGGGTGGCAGGTGTTGGGTTGTTAGCTACCATCGTGGCTACACCCGTAGTGCTAGGTAGCGAAATAACAGCTGGGGTGGCAGGGGTGTTAGGGTTGGTGCTTAAGTTTGCATCACGCAGACTGCATCGTAAGGCATTGAAACACGACGAGATCAGGGTTCTGGCCGAAGCAAAGCTGAACACAGTAAGTGAGCGTATTTCGGCAGCACTCACTGACAGTAAGATCTCAGAGGAGGAGTTTCGTTCAATCCTCTCTGAACTCACAAAATATAACAAAATGAAACAAGAGATTCGATCCAAGTCTCGTAAGTCTGCTATCAGCGAGGACGAGAAAAAAAAGTACATAGAACAGGGAGTACGAAAAGCCCAGCAAGCCTTTATTACAAACACCAAAGAAATCACAGGCGATTCACATTAAACTGTTTCATCGAGGTCAACGTGACATAGCGGCACAGTAGTGCCACGTGTGGGCGGGAAGTTAACCGGGGGCTCAAAAGTAGTAGATATACTGGAGCGGGATCTAAGGGCCTGACAAAAGCTTTATTTGTGAAATAAGGCTTTGCAGAGGCTTTTGTTGGACTTGATCCCGTACCCCCATTATATATACTACTCGGGGTGAAACCGCAGAAACGGAACAGCCACTATCTTGTTGTGTACGGGATACACATGCCTGATGAAAGATGAAGTTGAATACTGACGTGAAACAGTTGATGATTAAAGTCTACGATTTTATCTGTGCTGAAGCCGAAAGGGGCAAACCATTTTATGCCATTAATAAATTCCGTGAGCGGGCAGCAAAAGCTTTAGGAGTATCAGCAAGGGTACTGACAAATGTTCTGGAACACAAACATTGTGAGGGTGATGCGAAGCAGGTAGGGGTCGTGTCAAAATCACACAAATTAAAATATTTGGACAACTTTTAAAAGAACCTTGTAAGGCAGTCTATCAACAAGCTCTATTCTGAAAACATATACATGTCGCTGAAAATTTTAAAAAGCATTTGAAGCAAGAACACAACCTCAGAGTATCAAAGTACACACTCTGGCGACTCTTACACTCTTTCGGGTATTGTTATAAGACTGACTGACTGAGTTTGGTTTTACGCCACTTTTAGCAATATTCCAGCAACATCACGGCGGGGGACACCAGAAATGGGCTTCACACATTGTACCCATGTGGGGATTTGAACCCGGGTCTTCGGCGTGACGAGCTAACGCTTTAACCATTAGGCTACCCCTACCGCCCCTATTGTTATAAGAAAATTTCGGGGGAGAATAGGTCAGTACTCTGTGAACGCCCTGATATCGTTCGCTTGAGAAATAATTTTCTCAGGGTTATAAAGAAGAAGCACGAGGAAGGGTTCGAGCCAGTGTACTTGGACGAGACCTGGGTCAATGCCTCGCACACTGCCAGCAGTCAATGGGTACCCGATGGGGGTGATAAGGGGTCACATAGAAAGCTGCCTCTAGAGAAAGGAGAGAGACTAATCATTCTCCATGCTGGTTGCTCCAGCAAAGGCTTTCTCCCAGGCTGCGACTTGGTATTCAGGGCAAAGTCCACATATAACATAGACTACCATTCCGAGATGAATGGTGCGGTTTTCCTCGATTGGGTTAAAAAACAGGTTGGTACCAGCTCTACCAGAGAAGTCTTTTATCGTAATGGACAATGCCCCATACCACAGCGTGCAGGACCCCGACAGTAAAGCCCCGACATCGAACAGTCAAAAAGGTGATATGATATCATGGCTTGACAAATTTCAAAGGCAACGAAGCCTCAGCTATATGAGATCATAAAAACCCACAAAGGTGAACCGTTCTACAAAGTTGACAGTTACATAAAAAGTAAGGGTCACGATATTCTGCGACTTCCACCTATCACTGTCACCTTATCCCCATTGAAATGATATGGGGTATTGTCAAAGGAGATGTTGCCAGATCAAACACAACTTTTAGATTACGTGACGTAGAGGTTTTGCTTAAGGAATCCCTTAACAAAATCACGACTGAAACTTGGCAAAACTGTGTCAACAAGGTAGCTAACGTCATTGAACAAGGTTACTGGTCTCGGGATGGCTTACAACAGGCAACTGTGGCACCACTTGTCATCCCTTTAAGTCGTGACTATGACACTACGACGGACGAGGAACCGACAGGTCTCCCGGAATAGATTTTGAGATGTCCTCCGCCATGACTGGCTGTTCCTTTTCTGCGGATTCACCCCGCTGCGACAGATAACAACTTTTGCGTTTTGAATGATGATAGTTTCTTAAACAACTTTTTTGGTGGAGTCCGAAAATTTTCAAATATAAGAAAGCTGTTGGGTATTAGTAAATGATAAACATGTGTACTATTTATATTTATGTGGCAATTTTGTACAATGATCAAATTTGCAATTCATCGGTCCGTTTCTGACTCAAACGGACTGTAGTATTCACTTGATCAGGTCAAGCTGAACAAGCTGTAGGCAGTAATGTCATATTTATAATATAGAAAATAGATTAAATAAAGTGGTGTTTGTATGGGCGGATAGATGTGGGTTAACTGGTGTCAAGAATTGGAATTTTAGATTAAGGAAGAAGTTTACTTCATTTGATTTACATTACTTCTTAGATGTACCTGTTATGATTAACAAATCTGTTTTATGTACACTTATTGAGGAAAAGGTTATGAATGAGTTTGTTGCCTCGTGGACTTTATTGTTAAATAGACAGGAAGGCAGAACTGGTTTGAATAAACTTAGGCTCCATAAGCATTTTATGTGTAATTTTATTACAGAAAATTATATTGTCCATCACATGCCTAGACAGTATAGAACAGCTTTGTAAAAGTTCCGATGTGGTGTTGCTCCGATTAGAGTGGAAACTGGGCGCTATGAAAATATTGTATTTGAAAATAGAAAATGTTTCAACTGTATTAATGATGTTGAAGATGAACTACATGTGATGCTTCACTGTGTATTATATGATGGTCTGAAAGAAATCATTTTTAACCAGTGCAATACTTTATGTCCAGAGTTTTTAGATAAATGTGATCTTGATAAAATGTGTTTCATTTTTAGAGATCCTTTTATATGTTTTTATAC